GGGTGCCATTTCCTTCTCCAGGGGATCCTCCCGACCCAGAGATCAAACCCACGACTGTCTTTTGCCTTAGCAGAGGAATTCTTTACCTCTAGCACCACCTGCAGAGAAGGCAATGGCAACCCACTCCAGTACTCTTGCCTGGAAAATCTCATGGACGGAGGAGCCTGGTAGGCTGCAGTCCATGGGGTCACTGCGAGTCAGGCATGACTAGAGTGGCTTTGCTTTCACTTTTCACTTTCATGCGTTGGAGAAGGAAATGGCAACCCACTCCAGTGTTCTTGCCTGGAGAATCCCAGGGACGGGGGAGCCTGGTGGGCAGCCGTCTATGGGGTCGCACAGAGTCGGACACGACTGAAATGACTTAGTAGCAGCAGCAGCAGCACCACCTGGGAAGCCCATACTTTAGCCTTTAACTTCCTGTCTTCCTACCTTCAGTATCACTCCCATTCTATCAACCAGCACCTGGTCCTTAGAGTTATCATCTTAAATGCCAATTCTAATCTTTTCACTTGTGTCTGACACCTTCAGTGATTCCATTTTCTTCAGAATAATTTGAAAATTCCTTAAAAATTTATTAAATGCCTCTTATGATCTGACCTCAATCTGTCTTCTCCCCTGATACCTAAATAACTTGAGTTTCTCACCATTCTGAAGTTTTTTCTGATACTCTCATGACTTTGTGCTTTTGCTCAGGTCATTCATGCTGCCCTCACCCTTCCTACTGAAACCCTTCTTTCTTTCTTAGTATTTATTTATTTATTGGCTGCACTGGGTCTTAATTGGTGCATAAAGGCTTTTTCTAGTTGCAGCAGGCAGGGGCTACTCTGGTTGCACTGTGAGGGTTTCTCATTGTGATGGCTTCTTCCCTGGTGGCTTAGAGGTTAAAGGGTCTGCCTGGAATGCGGGAGACGCCAGTTCCATCCCTGAGTTGGGAAGATCCCCTGGAGAAGGAAATGGCAATCCACTCCAATACTCTTGCCTGGAGAATCCCATGGAGGGAGGAGCCTTGTAGGCTACAGTCCATGGGGTCACAAAGAGTCAGACGCGACTGAGCGACTTCCCTTTCACTTTTCTCTTGGTGCAGATCACAGACTCCATGACGTGGGTTCAGTAGTTGTGGCTCATGGGCTTAGTTGCTCCAAGGCATGTGAGATTTTCCCTGACCAGGGATTGAACCATGTCTCTTCAATTGGCAGGAGGATTCTTAACCACTGGACCACCAGGGAAGTTCAGTCCTTCTTTCTTTAAATCATAGAATGATTTCTCTCACTTTTCCAGCTGGAAGTAGATTCTTCTCCTTTTAGGATAGCATTATAAGTCCACAAAAACTGAGAACAATTTTTTTTTTATATGAAAACAGGTATTTATTATAGAACAATGTCTAAAAATTAATTAAAGGCTTAAACAGCAACAAAAAACATAATTCCACACATTGACATTGACTTTGTAGCATGAAAATTCTTAGCCCGAAGAGGCAAGTTTGTTCCTAATGAATTAACATATAATAAATTCTCATGACTTGATTCCAAAATATATGCATGAACTGACTTGACATGTTTATAAACATAAGGGCAATTTAAACACTGGTATTAGTTTTCATGAGTTCAGTTTAAGGCTTGCGACTGGAGAGTTATATTAGAAAAAAAAATCTGAGATAAAATATTCTTTAGGAAGCTACCACACACCTATGTACATTTGAAGACAAAGGGTTAAAAGTCCACTCTTGATGAACACTGCTAAGCAAAGGATGTATGACATCCATCACACGTCTGTTCCAAAAACAGTATGTTTCCAAAAGTATACATTTCTTTACAAATAAACATTACGACCCTAATCACTATAGAGGAACTGACAGAGTGAGTTCCAAAAGATGCTCTCATCCCTGAGCCATATCTTAAGGCCTCCACTTTAATCTTGGGGCTTTAAGAACATCTTCTTTGCTTTAATTGGTTTTATGTCTCCATTTTCATCTTCTTCGTAAAGGGCACGGTCTCTTTTCTTGGCAAACTTTTTCCCAATTGTCCCCACCAAGGTCTCATATCTTCTAGCCATTTCTTCATCTGACACATCGAGCTCCACTGTTTGCTCTTCAACTTCTTCTGCTTTGTTCTTAGCGTTCATCTGAAGCATTAATTTCTCAACCTCAGGATTAAATCCTCTGAATGACATTCTTCCATAGAGAAGATCTTCACACAACAAGAAACTCTGCTCTTCTATAATGAAACTCTCTTTCTCTTTCAGCTCAGGCAAATCCAAGTACGAGTGTCTTACCTCTCCAACTGCCCTAACGGACAGCTTTACGTATAGCAGTAACAGGGTAAATATGAAATCAAATGGACATTTTAGGTCTCTTTCTAGTGAGTTTTAGTGTGCTAAGTATAGATAAATTCTGTGAGGAATTTTATCTTCAAGGTGTGTGCGTGTTAGTCGCTCAGTTGTGTCCAACCCTGCAACCCCACGGACTGTAGCCCATCAGACTCCTCCGTCCATGGGATTCTCCAGGCAAGAATACTGGAGTGGGGTGCCATTCCCTTCTCCAGGGGGTCTTCTTGACCCAGGGATCGAACCCAGGTCTCCTGCATCACAGGCAGATTCTTTACCCTCTGAGCCACTAGGAAAGTCACATCTTCAAGGTAGGTAATATTAAAATTCCTTTTTTCAATCTGAGCTATTAACAGAACCAAAATCTCTACTTCATTATGAATGGGCCTTCATGGAATCTAATTTAAAGTAATAATATGTTTTAAAATTCCTTAAATTTTCTGTTATTCAGATTTCCTCCTTTTTATATCCTCTGTTTCTTGAGGTCTCAGAAAGAGCAGACTTTATGGATACATTTAAATGTTGAGATACAATCAAAAAATTTACCTACCAGTTTCTCTATCAACTAAAACAAACACTAAGCTATTTAAACATTAGATTGATTTTTCTGAATTGAAAGTTTGCCTTATCTGAAATTTTATGCAAGTTAGCGAAAGGTGACTGTCTCTAAATTTCAAGTAAATTCCATCAAGTTAAAGTTTGCCTCTGCTCCAACAATGGGATTAAGTCCAGCAATATGAATGATAAATTGAGAAGTGAAACGGTTGCAGTAGATATAAACTGTAACAAAATCTCTTCTCATTTTCAACCAAAATTTCCTAGGCAGTTCCTTAAAAATAAGAGGAGAGTTGACCTGCTATCTGAATAATTCTTTCCATTTATATTCTCTACCTGCTTAATTACATTTAATATTTTTTTCCTAAGCAAAAGTTCCTAATCTTTAATTCTGTCATAGCTACTTTACTTTTTCTGCAAAGATTAGAGAAATGTCAGAAAACCAAGAACTGATAATGCTTACAGTTTATTTCATAACCTTTTTTTAAATAATAGTTACAATCTTTTGAAGAGATCATTTATTTTAAATTTTCCCAAATCATTTTTTATTCAGACGTAGATTTTAAATTTTTTCAGAATAATATATTTTATCTGAGGATAAAAGTTCAAAACCATTGCTTTAGCTTCAACAGTAATTACTACTGATTGCTACCACTGTTACAATAATACCTGGACGTGGGTGTGCACATGCTTAGTCATCTCAATCATGTCCGACTTTTTGCCACCCCGTGGACTGTAGCCCACCGGGCTCCTCTGTCCATGGATTCTCCAGGCAAGAATACTGGAGCGGATTCCCATGCCCTTCTCTAGGGGATCTTCCTGACCCAGGAATTGAACCCACGCCTCCTGCGTCTTCTGCATTGCAGGCGTATTCTTTCCTTCTAAGCCACCAAGGAAGCCCAATATTACCTGTATGTGATCTTATTTAAATCTCATAGCCGTCCTACAAAGTAACCACCTTTTAGAGCCAAGGAAGGGCTTCCCTGGTGGCTCAGATGGTAAAGAATCTGTCTGCAACGTGGGAGACCTGGGTTCAGTCCTGGGCTGGGAGGATCCGCTGGAGGAGGACATGGCAACCCACTCCAGTATTCTTGCCTGGAGAATCCCATGGACAGAGGAGCCTGGTGGGCTACAGTCCATGGGTTGCAAAGAGTCAGACCCGACTCACCGACTAAGTACACAAACACAGAGCCAGAGAAAATAATAAGGTTAGATAACGGAGGCCATATGGACAGTCAGTCAGGAAACAGGGAACTAAAGCAGCCATTTCTGAGAGACCAAAGCCTAAGTATAGGAAAATCACACAACACGGTCAGCTGACATCTGAACATCCCCAGAATAACAACAAAACGTTGAGGAAACATCCTCTAGTGTCAGTGTGTAAGAAATACTGTGGCCTATTATACTGATCGGGGGTGTTGACTTAAAATATATAGTCACAACCTGAAAGTAGAGAGCTGTTCCATTTGATGGGAATTTTTAGGACTTCAAGCCAGGAAGGCAGCATCTCAAGTAGCCCTGAGAAACTGCTCTGAGAAGGTAGGGGAGGGAGTCAGATTATATAAAAGTTTGCAACGAAGGGAGCAGATAGTCTGAACATTGAAGATTACTGATAATTAAGGAAAACCAGATCTCAAGGTAAGGAATTTAGCCCTCTTCTATGTATGGGAGAAGAGGGCATGACAGCCCACTCCAGTATTCATGCCTGGAGAATCCCATGGACAGAGGAGCCTTGGCAGGCTACAGTCCATGGATTTGCAAAGAGTCGGACACGACTGATGTGACTTAGAAGGCACACATGCCTGTCTGGGAAGATGCAAGCGTCTGGACTCACTGAATTAATTCCTTTCATATGCACCTCAGCTATCTGGGGCCAGTAACCCTGCGTTTTCACATCCCCAGCTGCCCACCCCCTCACTCTTGTCTGTAGGGAGTGTCGTGTCGGCAGCTATCTCACAGGGATTGTTCTTCCTTTTGGGGGCCCTCTGAGTTGAGAAATTCCCATTTGGAGGGCCAGAGTCATAGATGGCTGTGACATCCTTGTTTATTAGATATGGCAGGAGATACTCCATTTTAGTGACTTTTTAAAAGTTGTTTTTTTCCTTTGCATTCTTTTTCTTCAGTCGCTGGCAATCTTTCTGCTGCCTTGTCAGTGTTGGTAGCTGGCTTCTTGGAAATACACAGAAAGCGCTTCCCTCCAGTGGAGCAACCTCTTTCAGGCAAAGCTGTCATCATCTCCTCCATGCTCTGGTCCCACCTGGTTCTTCAATACGTTTTACTCGGAGTGGCTGAAACCCTGGTCAACCCAGCCTGTGAGTGATAATTTTTTTCACCTCCTGTTGGAACGTATTGAGTCTTCACTCAGAGTACATCGCCTCACGTGGTCGGAAATCTGATCCTGCCCCAGAAATTTCCCACAATGCTTCAGAACAAGCTTATGCCTCGCCCTCATTTAAAAAGAAATTACAATTTCTCTTTGTTCCTTTGCCACATACAGACAATGATTAATCCTATCTGAATGTTGATAGGATGGAATGGAAGATTTACTAATCCGGTTAAAGGTAGCAATCATTTGGTCAGATACACAACAGGAGAAAATTCTGCTAAAACCTAGAAGACAAGACCGATATGTAACCTTTCCTCTGATCTGCTCCCTTCCCTCTTCCCACCCTCTCCCTCTCATTCATAGATAAACTCACTTATATACTCCCTCCCAAAATGACATGTGTAGTGTACTTTGAGAGTATATAAACATGCAAATGAAATAAGTTTAAGCCAGTTTTCCAGACAACTCAGTGTCTTTAAATTAAATTACACTAAATTAAGTGTGATCACTAATGTTTCATAAGACAGGTTCAAAATAACTTTATTAAGTATCAAGGGTTTTCTGTATCATCTAGATGCTGATATTAATTAAACTAGCCACTTCAAAATTCATCTAAGTATTTCAGTGACTTCTTACAAAACTGCAATATGTATGTGTGAGTGTGTGTGTGTATATACTTACCAGTGTGATCTACTGCATTTTTTGTTTCTGTCTTCCCTATAAGTTCCCCACACAGAGAATCCTGATTGTAACACAAGCCAATTATACTTTACCAAAATTACTTTTAAAACTTCCTGACTCTCTTCCTGCCTCTAATGTCTCTCCCATTCTATCTGCTCAACTCAACCTTTTGAGCAGTTTTCATAGATGACAATTCTAACTAATTCTCTTGTCTAAAATCTTCAATTATTCTATTATCTTCAATTATTCTTTAATTTCTCAAAGCAATATACATATATATATTTATATATATATATATTTAATATATATGCACACATATATACATCAAGATAATTCTTTTTAAAAAATCAAAATAAAATTAATTGTGTAATTACAGCCATATGTGTACATTAGACTTCTTTTTTATAATTTTAACTCATTTCATTCACATGAAATAAATAATTTTATGAGATTCTAAGATGTGGCTATCACTGTATGACACTAAAGAGAATACGAAAAAAAATAGAAAAGAATGTCACCACACAGATGTTTGTGACTTCCCTGATGTTTCCAGAAAATTGTTGGAAGTAGTCAGCTGACATTTTCTAGGCAATGAATGAAGGTGATGAGTGAATGCTCATGTGCTCAGTTGTTAAGTCAGGTCCAGCTCTTTTGCAACCCAATGGACTATAGCCTGCCAGGTTCCTCTGTCCATGGGGTTTTCCAAGCAAGAATACTTGAGTGGGTTGCTATTTCCTCCTCCAGGGGATCTTCCTGACCCAGAGATCAAACCCAAATCTCCTGTCTCCTGCAATGCAGGTGAACTTATTACTGCTTAAGTCATCAAGGAATCAATGAAGGTGATGAGTGAATACAGTCAGGAAATTCCCAGCCAGCTAAGCAATTGTGGTTCAACATTTGAAAGCCAGAGAGGTACTTTTAACCAGAGAGTTAAAAAAGCAGATCATGTCATATTAAGCGCTTAGTCCATCCATCCCTGATTTCCCATCTGAAAACTGAGGTCCAACTAAGTCCACTGACTTTTCCTCTATAGAGCTCATGGGACAAGGAGCAGAAGATTTCATTTTAATTTCCAGACTTGTTATTAACTACACATGTGACCTTAAAAATCCACTTAACCACTAAGCTTCACCTTTTAGACCTTTAAAATGGAAATACTTATAATTCTTCCTCATATCACAGCATCGGTGTAACAGTCAATGGGAATGAAACCTACTCTTGAGAATTAAATGACATAAAATGTGAGAGGGTGTTTTGAACTATGAAATCAAGAATCATTCTTCTGGAAGGCAGTATGGCATAGTTGTTAATATCCATGAATCTTAAAGTCAGGCAGAACTGAATTCAAACCCAGTTCAGCCCCTGACTAGTTGTGTGACCTTGGCAAAATTATTCTGCATTTCTGAGCCTTTCTCATCATCTGTAAAATGAGGAAGGGATGTTGTAAGGACTAAGTGAAATATTTCATGTAAAGGAAAAATCAGAGTGTACATAGACAATATATAGGATAGACTGCACTCACCATTAACAATTGTATAGCTTCCCTGGTGGCTCAGATGGTAAGAATCTGCCTGCAGTGGGGGAGGTCTGGATTTGATCCTTGGGTTGGGAAGATCCCCTGGTGGAGGGCATGGCAACCCACTCCAGTATTCTTGCCTGGAGAATCCCCAAGGACAGAGGCGCCTGGTGGGCTACAGTCCATGAAGTCGCAAAGAGTCAGACACGACTGAGTGGCTAAGCATAGCACAGCACATGTGTGCTGTTATTATTGTTACTATGCTTCAGGTAAATTAATAGTCCAAGACTCAGGGCTCAAGCACAGATGTCTTGCTCACAAGTCATAGTAGAAAACCACACCTCCCACAACTTGAACATCAGGGGATCTGATAGTGGTAGCAGTATCGTGTCTTTGTTACCAGTCATTCAAAGTCCCTTTTTTCTTCTTACTTCTCACCTCCAATCCAACAGCAAGTCTTAGTCTTAACTCTGAAATATAATTTAAATCTGGTCCTGACTCATCATCTCCTTTTCTATTCACCTGGTCTTTAATCCCAGTTCTTTTTTTCTCCATGTACACTTCTTATTAAAAAAAAAAAAAGATTTAATATTCCAGGGATATAGTGGACTTAGGTGTGAGTTGTTTAAAATATTTTTAATAAACATCACTGCTGGAAAAACAGTATATAAATACACAGGTGGGAGTGTGTCTGGCAAGAAAATACAAGGAGTCTCATGCAGTTGGAGGAGTGAGGAAGAGATAAAGTGGCAAGGTGTCAAACTTATTTTTGCTCTGGGGGGCCCAGGTTCGATCATTTGTTTGGGAAACTAGATCCCACATGCCACAACTAAGAATTCACATGCCACAGCTAAAAAATCCTGCATGCCACAACAAAAGAAGGAAATGGCAGCCCACTCCAGTATTTTTGCCTGGGAAATCCCATGGACAGATGAGTCTGGCAGGCTACAGTCCATGGGGTCGCAAAGAGTCGGACACAACTTCGAGACTGAACCACCACCACCATGCTGCAATGAGACCTGGCACAGCCAAATAAATAAATAAAATAAAAATTTTTTTAAATGAATTGGTCAACAGGGTTATGAGGTTTTCTCTAGCTCCGTCAGACTGCGTGAATCTAGGAGCGGATAGTGAATTGTCTTGCCGGTCAATTTCCAGAAGGCAAGAGAGAGGCAAAGAAATGGAACGTGGAAGAATATGATTCTAATAGTTGACCATGGGACTTAGCTTGGATAAAAAGAGTAGTGAGAACATGTAGGGTATGAAAGAGGTGAAAATAATGAAAGGAGTAATGGAGTGGAGGCTCTGAAGGAGAACAAGCATTCTGATGGTTGAGTCATCGAGAGTAAGCTGGGACGATGGAAGGTGGTCGCCAGAGGCCAGTGCACAAAGTTGAGATTATGGATCAGTGACAGTTACTACTCTGGGGCGTGCGTTGGCAAACTTTTTCTTAAAATTTTCAGATAGTAAGTGGTTCGGTTTTGCACTCATTTCTGGTGCAACTGCTGAACTCTGTCATTGTGGTATATAAGCCATCAGAGATGACATACAATGAATTGGGCTGTGTCCCAATAAAACTTTATTTATAAATAGGTGGCAGCTGGACCTTACCTGACCGTAGTTCACCAACCCCTGGTCTGAGGTACAAGATTCAGCGTGTGAGTGGCTAAGGTCAAGTGGGGGACAAGGACATTGCAAAGGGGGCCATGGAACTGAAAAACCAAGATATGACAGAATGGAAAGTTGGAAAGATGATCTATATGTACGTGTGTGTTAAAATTGCCAGGGGACTTCTCTGGAGGTCCAGTGGTTAAGACTTCACTTTCCAATTCAGGAGGGTTGAGTTCATTGGAAGACTAAAATCCCACATGTGTTGAAGCTAAAAAATAAAAACAAAACAGAAGCAATATTGTATAACAAATTCAATAAAAACAGAAATAGTCTGCATCAAAAATATATGTATCTTTTAAAAACTGCCAAGAATTAAGGCAGAAGTGGAACCAGAGAGTGTAACCATGAGAGGGGAGCTGATGAGTCTGAAAAATACAAAAAAGTGTCACAAAGATTGGCAGCTGACAGCAAAGAAAAAAAATATTAGGTGATCAAACCAGGTAACATGAGATTCAAAGTTGAAGATTTTGTAGAGATCAGGGAGAAATAATGATCTGAAAATGGTGGTAGCATAAAGTTCCAATTTATAGTTCTGCCATACTTCTCCACATGTTCAAAACAAACCCCTCACCAAATGCAATAAACACATTTTAACTGTTTAAGAACAAGTGAAGTAAAAGAAATTTCCAGGAATGAGTCTCCAGTACCAGCTGCCTGAGGAATGCAATTATGGCTCTATAGTTTGTAGATTCCACATAAACTGTGATGGGGCATCTCTGCAAACACTACAGTCTCCACCTGGAGACACATTTCAACTCGCTCTTTGGCAACAAGACCAGTTTTCCCGTACACTGTATATTTTTTCCTGTGTCCTCACAGTAAAATGATCTTCCCTGGTGGCTCAAGCAGTAAACAATCTGCCTGCAATGCTGCTGACTCAGGTTCGATCCCTGGATCTGGAAGATCCCCTGGAGAAGGGAATGGCTATCTTTCCAACTATTCTTGCCTGGAGAATTCCATGGACAGAGGAGCCTGTTGGGCTATAAAGTTCATGAGGTAGCGAAGAGTCAGACACGACTGAGCGACTAACACTTTTCACAGTAAAATGAGGATTTTAGAACAGTGGCAGACTTGTTGATTACATCTATACTACAATATGCTCAAAGAATTATCATGGAACCTAAAAAAATCAAGTCGATGATCACCAAAGTCAAAAAAGATCAGAACATGCAAGTAGATGCTTGAAATTGGAGATCGGAGGACTTGAAAAGCGGAGTCCTATAAAAGGGAACCAGAGGTTTTCAAAACGAGGAAAATGACACCAAAGAGAGATTAACCAGCAGGCAGAGAGCTGGCAAAGTGTGCTCATGAATTATATACCGCACCAGAAGTTCTAGCAAGAGAAAAGCGCGGGATTAATAATTAACTAGCAAAGTAATAATGGGCCCGAACGTTCCGCTTTTTCTCACTGAAAGAAATCATCCTACTTCATCTTCCTGCCCATTGTTTGTCTCCTCGTATTTAGAAAGAGGAAAGTTCATCAGCCAAATCCTTTTTGTAACTGAGTCCTTCCTGCCCAAAGCCTCTTCAGCGTTTCTTTCTTGCCTTTCCTTTGGATCTTCCAGAGAAAACTTGCAAGCTTGGCCTCAAACTCCTGCAGGTAATTTGCAGGGCACAAGACAGCTCTGGAACCAAAGTCTCCTGCTGCCAATATTTGAAGCCTTTCTTCATAGTATTTTATCATCATCATTACCTTAATGTCCAATAATATTTGGGATATTAAGCACCAGTTAGTGCTGCCCTTAGTATTACGCATATTTCTGCACTCTGCCCTTCAAAGTTTAAAATCCAGGAAAAATATACTGATGCTTTCTCCCACCCTCAGCCTTAGTACTTCAGCACATCTGAAGCACAGAGATTCCTTTAAATGTTTATTGAATGATAAATAAAAACACGCAGAGAGCACATTGAAAGCAAAATGAAAACATTAAATAAATACAGGAAGGAATAGTAATACATTTACATTAAGTATTAGTAAGTTCATTTAAAAGTGCTGGCCAAGGGACTTCCCTGGTGGTCCAGCAGATAAGAATTTGCCTTCCGATGCAGGGATGCAAGTTCAATCCCTGGTCTGGGGACTAAGATCCTACACGCCTCGGGATGGCTAAGTCCATTCGCCACAATGAAGACCCAGGCAGCCAACAATAAAAGTAAATTAAAATTTTTAAAAAGTGCTGGACAAATGCAGAGTTTTACTGGGAAACTAGGAGTGAAGTCTTCCTGAAAGGGAAGGGGGAAGATAATTAAATTTCATTCTTTGTAGAGACAGTGAAACTAAAAGTTTAGTGTTCATGGCATATCAGTTTTCTATCACCACCTTTCTTTTTAAAAAGAACTTCAATATTTATTTGCATTCTCTCATTGCAGAAAAATTTGCTAAGTACAAAAGAGTAGGAAGAAAAATTAAAAATCCAATCATTCAGCCACTCAGAGCTAAAACCGTTCATATTATTTAATGTGTTTCTTTACAATTTTTTGCCGCTTATATACAAAAGAGAGAGATTAGTACAATAAACTCCCATGTATTCACATTCCAGCTCTAATAATTTTCTACACATGGCCCAAACTGTCTCATATCTACCTTCATTCACATAATGTCTTCCTCTTCATGATATAATTACGAAGCAAACAACAGGTATCAAATTATAATAAATACTATAAAGATTTTAATTTGTATCCCTAAGATGGCTATTCATAGTTATGTTGATGTGGAATGTATACAACTATATATGCTTACTTCATTTATTTCTGATATCAAAAAATTATGTTTAACTGAAATTTAAAATAAAAACTTTCCTCCGTAATTTTCTTTTCACCCCTTACCACCATCATTACTACTATTCCAACAATGACTTGGGAGGAAAAAGATAACCATTCTGGAAACCCAATGCTTAAGCTACTGCCTCTCCTTAAGTGGGATATTTAAATGCATATAAAAATAAATAAAAAGGGAATTCCCTGGCAGTCCAGTGGTTTAGACTCCACACTTTGACTGATGAGGGTCTGGGTTCAATCCCTTTTTGGGGAACTAGGATCCCGCAAACCATGAGGTGCAGCCAAAAAACAAATTTTGTAATGCATATAAAAGGATTTGCACAGTGTCTTGCACAAATAGGGGATATTTTATTTGGTAAAATTAATATTGTTACAAATAGCTAACCTTATTCAGTTCTTGTATACATTATAGCAAATAACAGTCATACACCTCAAACAAGTGCATTCTGAATGACCTGACTACCATTTCATAGAGAAGAAGACTGAGGCTTGAGAAGTTTAAGTAAAGAATCTGCTTACCAAGCAGGAGACAGGGGTTTAATCCCAGGGTTGGAAAGATCCCCTGGAGAAGGAAATGGCAACCCACTCCAGTATTCTTGCCTGGAGAATGCCATGGACAGAGGAGCCTGGCGGGCAACAGTCCACAGGGTTGCAAAGAGTTGGACATGACTTAGTGACTAAACAACAACCTAAAATCACAGAGGTAATAAATATCTGAACCAGGATTTTATCATAAGCTTATCTAAGTCCAGAGCTCATGCTGTTCTCCACCATGCTAGTTTTCTATGATAGATTGAGATTTCCACAGGGAATCTAATAATGTATATAGGACAACAGAATCATAGAACTTACTGATATCATCATGATACTATCCAGTACAAGGCTTCCTAGGTGGTGCTAGTGGTAAAGAATCCACCTGCCAATGCAGGAGATGTAAGAGGCACAGGATGGATCAATCCCTGGGTCAGGAAGATCCTCTCTAGGCAGGCACAGCAACCCACTCCAGTATTCTTATATGGAGAATCCCACGGACAGAGGAGCCTAGCAGACTTCAGTCCATGGGGTCACAAAGGGTCTAATACAACTGAAGCAACTTAGCATGCATGCATGATACTCTCTAGTACAAGCCTTAGCTCAACCCAAAATCCATAAGAAATATTCAAATTGACGTATAACTTTGGTGAATATTTTGGGACACTCAACCACCTAGCAATTAAATTTTCCTTATAGGAGTGTATTTTGCCACATTTTATTCCTTGTAGATATCTGTAAATTGTAACATCATAATATCAGTTCAGTTCAGTCACTCAAGTCATGTCTGACTCTTTGTGACACCATGGACTGCATAACTCCAGGCTTCCCTGTCCATCACCAACTCCCTGAGCTTGCTCAAACTCATATCCATTGAATCAGTGATGCCATCCAACCATCTCATCCTCTGTTGTCCCCTTCTCCTCCTGCCTTCAGTCTTTTCCAGCATCAGGGTCTTTTCCAATAAGTCAGTTCTTCGCATCAGGTGGCAAAAGTTTTGGAGTTTCAGCTTCAGCATCAGTCCTTCCAATGAATATTCAGGACTGATTTCCTTTAGGATTGACTGAGTGGATCTCCTTGCAGTCCAAGGGACTTTCAAGAGTCTCTCCAACACCACAGTTCAAAAGCATCAGTTCTTTGGCACTCAGCTTTCTTTATGGTCCAACTCTCACATCCACACACGACTACTGGAAAAACCATAGCTTTGACTATACAGACCTTTGTCAGCAAAGTAATGTCTCTGCTTTTTAATACACTGTGTAGGTTTGTCATAGTTTTTCTTCCAAGGAGCAAGCATTTTTTAATATCATAATATATGTTACTCTAGTAATGTTAACAAAAGTGAAATGACAGTCACTCAGTCATGTCTGACTCGTTGCAATCCATGGACTGTACAGTCCATGCAATTCTCCAAGTCAGAATACTAGAGTGGGTAGCCTTTCCCTTCTCCAGGGGATCTTCCCAACCCAGAGATCAAACCCAGGTCTCCTGCATTGCAGGTGGATTCTTTACCAGCTAAGCCACAAGGGAAGCCCAGTGTTAACAAGGCCCAACAGAAATTTTACCTGCATCAGTAAACTTTCTTTGAGGTATGATCAATGCCGATTTGAAGACTATCTATACTTTTACTTTAGAGAGAATTTTTTATGAACTTATGGTTGCTGAGAGGAAGAATGGAGGGAAGGGATAGTTAGGGAGTTTGGGATCAATATATACACACTCCTGTATTTAAAATAGATAAACCATAAGGACTTACTGTATAGCACAGGGAACTTGGCCCAATGTTATGTGGCAGCCTGAACGGGAGGGGAATTTAGGGGAAAATGGATGCATGTACATGTATGGCTGAGTCCCTTTGCTGTTCATCTAAAGCTATCAAAACACTGCTAATTGGCTATACTCCAATATAAAATAAAAAGTTTAAAAAAAGAAATAATGTTCTATATTCTGAACTTTTGTCTTCTCAGTCTCTGTAATATACAGATTTGTTCCAAGTACCATCAGAGGAACCTTTATGAATTGCTTGACACTGACCAGTGGATTTGCTTGTTTCATGGGGGCACTGCTGTTGGAGTTGGTCTACCTCATCTCAGAAGGTAAAAAATAGTTCCATGGTTCGCTTATATATATATTGATTTGATGACTAGAGAATTGAGAGACAAAACCTTAAGAGAGGCTTTGCCAGGGTAGTCTTTTTTTTTTAATTGATCCACTTTTGCAATTAAGATAGAATTAAGATAGGAAATAGACTCTTGCTGTATTCATTAATTTCTGGAAATTGTTTTTCTTTTGATAGGAGGAGGTAATTACAGAATGTCACTTCTCATGAGACCCTGTCTGCTGTCTTTCTTTATTATACTTTAATGCAAACTGGTCATTATATTCTTATTAGGTTTCTCAACAGGGCTGTATTCAACAAGGGTCATAGGTAACCCTCCGAAAAGGTAAGTCCTGTGCGAATATAGGAAGATGGGGGCATCTGGATGATCCTTTATCCAGAAATATAGTCTGTGCAACCCAAGAGAAATTGTCAGTTGAATTGGAAACATTTCCCAGTAGCTATTTTAGTCAGAAGAAACAACCAATCTGAAAAAGTCACATGCTACATAAAAAGTATTCTTACATGGGCTGGTAGAAAAATCAAACAAGATAACATTAGAGATTAACTGTCATGACGCATGTCCTTGGCTATATTTTAAATCTACAGACTTTTTCCTTTATTTGTTCTGAGACGTTAATACACCTTAAAATTTATTAAATTTGCTTGTGCTTACTTTATGAGAGATACTGAAAGCTTATTGTTCTCTCCTTTCAAAAATACAATATATTTTAAAAATGTAAACAAATATTCATATTCTTTACAAATAAATTTAACTTACCTACTTTCCAATTGTGGAAAAAATAAATTCTATGAATAAGAAACTCCTATTAACACTAGGTATCCATTCAAAAAATATTTATGGAGGATCCAGTCTGTTCCAGGTACCATATTGGATACTAGAGATACCATGCCAAGAAAAATTAACTTCCAGATTGTCACAAAATTTCCAGGGGTGTAGGGAAGCAATAAAATTGAGTAACAAATTAAATGATAGGTATAGTAGAGTTCAAGGAACAAATCTATAGTCTTTAATAGTTAAGATCAAACCCTGTTCTTAGTTAACTGTGAAAGTTAAGCCAAAGTATGTAATGAGTAATTACCATGTACCAGGCTCTACATTATTAATACATGGAATTATGTGAGACATGGTTCCAGTTCTTAAGAGCTCACATTCAAACTGTCATAACTCAGTGTGAACAACAGAATTTGTTGACATCTCTGATGATCGGAGTCTTTAAATGTAAACAAAGTCTAGAACACTGGTATTAGGATTTTATAAGATAGCTTGGAAAAATCTTACCAATACCTCTACCTAAACATCTTTTAATAAGCTGGCTATAAATGTGGAGATTCCCCACAGACTCCCCCTCAGAACTGATAATTTGCTAGTAAGTGCAATACTTGTGATTACAGCTTTATTATAGCAAAAAAATACAAATCAAAACGAGATAAAGGCAGAGATGCATGAAACAAGGTCTGGGAAGGTTCCAGAAAAAAAGTTCGTTTCATCCTCAGAGATGTGGTACCCAACTGGCACATCAGTGTGTGATAATACACAGAGCACTGTCACCCAGGAAAGCTTACCTGAACTTCAGTGCGCAGAGTTTTTATTGAGGTAGAGTCTTCCCTGGTGTCTCAGACTGTAAAGAATCTGCCTGCAATGCAGGAAGACCCAGGTTCGATCCCTGGGTCAAGAAGATCCCCTGGAGAAGGAAATGGCTACCCACTCCAGTATTCTTGCCTGGAGAGTCCCATGGACAGGGGAGCTTGGTGGGCTACAGTCCTTGAGTTCACAAAGAGTCAGACACGACTGATTGACTAACACTTCTCTCTTATGTGGGCAGGATTGACTGAACCATTGGCCATGTAGTTCAACTCAGTCTCCAGCCTCTCTTCTCTCTCCAGAGACTGGGCTGATACCTACCCTGTGGCCCAAAATCCCAACCCTCTAACCCTATAGTTGGTCTTCTAGGCTTGCCAGCTCCCATTCTGAGTCTCGCCATTAACAAATACCATCAGGTGGGGCTTCACGAGCCAACCATGAATAACAAAGACCCTTCAGTCACTTGGGAAATTCAGAGATTTTAGAGTTTACCTCCCAGGAACCAGGAAGAAAGACCAGACAATTTCATTACATAAAACTGTTCTTGCAAATTTATTTTACTGAAAATCTATTTTTACTGAGAATCTGCATAGTATGGTAGGATCTGTTATATAACATTACTGGGTCTATTACAACAATCTCATAAAGTTGACAAAGCAGCTACTCTCTAGTTGCAGTGGGCAGGCTTCTCATTGCAGTGGCTTCTCTGCTTGCAGAGCAGGGGCTCTAGGGTGCATGGGCTTCAGTAGCTGCAGCACATGGATTCAGTAGCTGTGGCTCCTGGCTCTAGAGCTCAGGCTCAATAGTTGTGGCACATGGGCTTAGGTGCTCGACAGCATGTGAGATCTTCCCGGATGAGGTATGGAACCCACGTTTCCTGCATTGGCAGGCTGATTCTTTACCACTGAGCCACCATGAAAGCCCAAAAGTTTATATAGTTTTGGCAAAGTTTGGTGCCCGTTAAAGGAGGTCTACCAAGAACATATAGTGAGGACATCTTAGCATCATGCAATGTGACGCAGAGGGGAGGAGCAGTCTCTAAACTAATATTGAAAAGAACATCATTTAAATTACTGCTAATTGATTTAATTTACTTCTTTAAAATATTTTTCTATTCATACTAATACTGTGTTACATCAAGTCGTAGCCTAATCAGTTAGAATCTTGCAATTGGATGTCACTGTGGAGGTCATCTAATTTAACACTGTACCAAAAACTAGAAGATGCACAATCTTCTTCTAGTGCCCAGGAAATGTTCTCTACTTTGAGAAGTAACCCATCTGTTGATAAATATATTTCCCAGAATAAACCTAGTTTTTCTGTCCACATGGCAACTCTTCAAAACATTCAATAAATATTTGGGGCAATAATGTACAATGTTAAAAGAGAAGGGTCCAAACTCTGTGGATTCCAATCCAGGTATTCTAGTTGTGTGTCCTCAGTTTTCATGTCAATAGCAATAATAAATAATTCATTATGTTGCTGAGAGGATTAAGTAATTAATATGCATAATACATATTCAATAAAGATAGCTATTTTGACTCCCTTCTAATATATAGACAAACCACTCCAATTTTTTTCATAGTACATGATTCCCTGATTTTTCATTGTCAAAACCCCTCTATCTTAATGGATAGATATCAATTTGTCAGTATCGTTCTTAAAATATAGTTTCCAGACTCAATCACAAGGCTCAAAATGGGTACATCCAAGATAGATATGTTACTTTTATCAACATTCTCAATCTCTCTCTCTGTTGGCATTTTTAATAGCATGCCAACAGAGATTGTAGTTACTTTTTCAATAGTTGCATCACACCTATGTTCAATTAAAACCTGAAGCTTCTTTTTTTATGTTTAGCAGTTTCTCTCAGTTCAGTTCCAATCATCTTATCACAATTTCTTTGTCTAATTAAATGCAGGACTTTATCTCTTCTCCTTTAAAAATGTCAGCCCATCATTCTAAATAACAGACAGTTTAAAAACTTGATTCTGTCATCTGGTGAATTACTGATCTTTACTTCTTTACCAGCTTGTGTCACTGGCAAATTTAGTAAGCAAGTTCCTAGACCTCTTTCAGGTAATTGATAAAATTGTTGAATTGGACAGGAACAAAAGCAGAGACTTGTGGAAAATTCCTAGAGACCTCACTGTAACTTAATGGTAATCAACTAATCCTCCCCTTTTGGATACAATTAGCTGCCTCTTCACCTAGTTACTATCATTGAGCCCACATGCTTCTCCATCATTCCCAGAATGACATCACAGGAGACTTTTGTCACATGGTTTTTTCTGGGGGTAGATACATCTGAGTTTGTGACAGTCACTTTAGCCATCAGATTAGCATTCATCAAGAAAGGCAATGAAGTTCATTTAGATGATTTTATTTTAGTGACCCTAAACTGACTTATGGTGACTAATTAGGGCCCCTAAAAGAGAGTCATCCTTAGCCTATCTGCATGATTTCAGGTAGGACACCATCTCGTTAAGAATGTTTAAAAAAAGGAAATGCTGCACTTCACTGTTCTCAGAGATGATGAGAAGATAAATAATGTATTTGAGCATTTTAATGTTAGAGATTATTTTAAATATAGAATAAAGCCATAGTGGCCCATTCAGTTAGAAATAAGATCAGTCTGTTTAATCAAACAACCAGACCAATTTCTTTGACAGAATTGAACATCATGAAAAAGAACTCTATAGCTCTATGTTTAAGCATCCCACAAGCCTCCACATTCCATTTAGCATATAGGATATTTTAAATCTTTAAGGATTCATGTCAGCAGAGCGTGTGTGTATGTGAGTGTGTGTGTGTGAGTGTTAGCGTATGATTGGAAAAGATGATCAGTTATCACAGTCTCCAAGCTGCATTAGTCATTTTTAGCACCATGATGGAGAATGGTGTGAATGCGGTAAATTCAAAAGATTTCTCAAAACTTGACGGTGCAGACAGATAGCTGTTAGAGTGACATTTTCAGTACAAGTGAGAAAACTGATGCTTCTGGGATCTCTAACTCTAAGTGCCTTAAAGGAGTAGATACAAGACTAAACCCATCCTCCTACACTAATCATTTCAGAAATAGTTTATCTAAAAGTAGCAATGCTAATAAAAAGGGAGTGAAGAAGTCAGTCAAACTGCTTATTTCGACTCTGTGCCATTAGCAACCAGATCAATTTTCTCACATGCGTGAGCACAAGCTTACCTTCTGACAAAAATAACAAAATGGGAATTCAGTGAAAAGTGACATCTTAGTTACGGACGTGGAGGTGATTGAAAGATCCAAAGCAGAATGTCTCAGAGAAAAAAAGGATAATTGGGTAGAATCAAGAGGTCAAGGTATACATCTTCCTGTCCCTGTTAGTCCTTCCTCTTCAGAGTTCAGCAAAGGGGCA